ATCCACGTAAGCATCCGCATTATATTCTGTATTCTTCATTGTACAGAAAGCAGGCTGTTAAACGCTCCTTTAACTTGTCATCACTTGAAAGGACTCCAGAGAAAGGGTCTATGACCGCACCGTCAATGTCTTGCTAAGGAAGATGAAACCTGATTGTGCTTGGCCTCGTCTTCAGAAAGATCCAGCTAAGGTAAGCACACGTGTTTGTGTCTGTGTCCTTAAACCGATCAGTATCAAGGTATTCTATTCTTCTCATCTGGTATTTACTCAGGTTCATAAAAATAGCATGGCTCATGTTAAGACTGTTTTTATGAGGCTGAAGAATTTTTTTTACCAATGATACTTCCTCACTATACATTTACCAGTTTAGTAGTACACTTCAATCCCAAACCCTAAGTTGAAAAAGTCTTAGCTCACTGTTTCCATCTCATAAAAATGCATTATATAAGCAAAGAGAAGCTTTATATAAGTATTTATCTAAAGCTATTAATAGAGTGCCTGAGGATATTACAACTAACTAAGTAAGATGTTCTGTAATCCTTGCAACTTTATTTTTAGTAAATAATACCTAAAATGGTGCTGTTATGTCTTCATTCCATAGGCCAGTTGGATTTCAGTTGACTTTGATAACTGGAGGGACTGGGAAAACGAAGACGATGAGGGAAAGGAGGAATATGACCATTATGTGGATGTGAGTGAATTCAGTCTTCTTAGTAATAAGATCAGTCAAATTCCAATATTGCTTCTGATCCCAGTGCATGTAATATGCAATACCCTCCATTATTTTTTGTTTAAATGGCTTTCCTTTTACAGATGATCCGAGAGATGGCTAACAATGACAAAGGAGAAGCTCCAGATATGGGGGATCTTAGTGATGTAAGTGAAGTGTTCTCCATATAAGTGAGGAGTGTACAATGTAAAATTGGGAATTGCTTCTGCAATAGTCTATATTTAAGTATTCTACAATCAATGCAGACTGAAAATCTGTAACTTATATTGATCATTTGATTGTGGAGACTGACCATTCTTCCATTTTTTCCCTTTCAACAGTCTGACTGATACTTTATCCTCTCTGGTGAAGCCTGCTGTAAATGTATAGCTCAAGATACTGAGGACAACACTTTGTTTACTGAAAGCTGTATTATATGCTAAAAATGGATGTGCTATTGTCCAAAATGCTGTTTTTACATGTATGATGATATTTTATGTGAGATTATTTATTGCTCTGTAATTGTTTACTGTACACCGGCATGTGATTGATAATAAAAGTTTTATTAAACACAAAATTGCATTATGTTGCTTGAGGTAATAACACTGGCTGAATGAACTGGGGGATATAGAACATGATTGTGTCGGTAACTCCAGAAGATGGCAGTAACGTTGCAGTAAATTTAAAAGTCTCAATCAGTAGCCCAAATTTAGTTTACACTTGCAGTAATGCACTAAAAACACAGCCTCGCTTTTTATACGTAGTCATATTAGTTACCTGTTGCCGGTTAACATAACTAGTTGTAAAAAAAACTTTTCCAGCCTTTTGTTGCCATCGTCCAAACTTTTTTGAAATGCTGTCTAATTTGAAATTACCCGATTTTTTTCTTAAATCGGTACATTTCATCACTTTCAACGTTTGGTATGTTTTCTGCGTTCTACTGAGAATCATTTATGACTGTATCAGATTTTAAAAATCATTGCATTCTGGTTTTATTTACATTTTACAATTCGGGTTGTAGTTTATTCGATTTCATAGAGCATATCCTAGGTTTTTCTCTTTCTCCTGTTAAAAAAAGTGCATTTAAAAGACGATTAATAAATAGTGGTTTAATTAATCTTTCTCGCTTAAGTTAAAAAAGTTATGAAGCGAAAGTCGAAGTCATTAAGTTTGGGCTATTATGGTACCCGTCGGCGTCAGCTGACAGCTGTAGGCTTCACCTCCCCGTGCTCGTGCTACCGGCTGGCGCAGTTTTCCTTTCAAAAACAGGACAAAATGGCTTTTCAGTGTCAGCGAGACTGCTATATGAAAGAGGTGCGAAGCTTTTAAAAGCATGCGAAAAGACCTCCCGGAAATTTATCAGCAGTTCGGTGCAGAAGTGATTAGCATGTCTGCTAACTGATGCACCTGCTAGCTACCTTTGTAACCAGAGCAAGGGCTGGCAACTGATTTATAGCTCGTTTATATAGTCTACGAGTCGCACTTTTATCTTACATAACCTTAGATTTATTCAGTTTAACTTTGTTAGAGGTTGTAATTGTGTAATTTCCACACTCTATGTTTCAGAGTTAAGACTTAAAAAGAAGACTTTTTAAGTCTTCAGTCTTTGTACTTGCTGTCACATAAATTGTCCTTTAGAAAGCCAGACCTTTATAAAGTCTTGTAGGAGACTGAAATCTTGCACACACTTAAACAACTGCAGTCCTTTAAGAAGCATGTAATGTTTCTGGTTGTAAATTTTATATGACACGATTATTATCATTATTTCTCTGGTCCCCTTCCAGTTTGTTACCTCTGTAGTCTCCTGTTGCCCGGCGGAACTAAAACAAGAAGTAAATGGAAAGAAAGAAACTATTAGAGGATTCCACATCAAGCTACAAGATACCATCTTGTTTCCTGAGGGAGGTGGCCAGGTAAGCGTGTTCTTTTTCTTTTTCTTTCAAGCTCTTACTCCATTATTTAAATTTGTACGTCACATGTTCCTTCATTGCAAATGTTTATGCAAATGCAAGATGTACAATGTCACTTGCAAAATTTGCATGCTTTACGTTGTCCTCCTGCAGCCAGATGACCATGGATTCCTTGGAGATGTCCCAGTTTTGAGAGTGACGAGGCAGGGACCAGACGCCCTGCATTTTGTGGCCTCACCTCTGGAGGTGGGTCAGGAGGTTCAAGTGAAGGTAGACTGGGAAAGGAGATTTGATCATATGCAGCAGCACTCGGGTAATAATCACCACAGAGACAGGAAAAAACGCCATCGCGCATTTTATTTTACCTGTTGCCTAAGCAGTGATTGTTTTCTTCTTGACTCTTAGGTCAGCATTTGATTACAGCTTTGGCAGACACAATGTTTGGATACAAGACCACATCCTGGTACTTTACCATTGCATATGTTCTTTTCCATGTAGCCACTAAGCCTTGTAGGTTTACAGATTTTCTGGGTTTTTATCAATTCAATTCAATTCAATTTTATTTATATAGCGCCAAATCACAACAAATGTCGCCTCAAGGCGCTTATTTATTTTAAACGCTTTATTTATCAGGGAACTGGGTCGTCAAAGAAGCACCATTGAGCTGGACACTCCCTGTGTGAAACCTGGCCAGCTTCAGGAACTAGAAGAATGTGTAAATGAGAAGATCAGAGCTCACATTCCTGTCATGGTTCAGCTTCTCTCTATAGATGACCCAGCTGTGGAGAAGGTACAGATATTGCACTTACTGGTTGTAAAAGAGACCTGTTGCCCTGTGTTAAGTGTATTACACAATATGTATTTGTACAAATCAGGTGAGAAGTCGAGGGCTGCCAGAGGACCACGCAGGACCCATTCGGATCATTGATATAGAGGGCATAGATGCCAACATGTGCTGTGGAACCCACGTCTCCAACCTCGGTCACTTACAGGTACAACATTGACATTTTCACAATTATATTTAGTGTTTGTGACATTAACCGTTGTGTATCTAATTTCTTTGTATTCAAATTTAAGCTAATAAAGCTGCTGGGAACTGAGAAAGGAAAGAAAAACAAAACCAATCTAATTTTCCTGGCAGGAAAAAGGGTACTAAAGTATGCAGAGAAAAGCTTCAACACAGAGCGGTCACTGGTGTCACTTCTAAAGTAAGTTCTAAATCTGAATAGTCAAAATTTAACTTTGAATCATTCAGAAATTGGAAGTGAAAACTCCTTTTGGTTATTTTTCATCAGAACGGGACCAGATGAGCACGTTGAGGCAGTTGACAAGTTGCAGAAGTCTGTTAAGCTGCTACAGAAAGTAAGAACATTTTCTTTCTAGATTACTGTTTGACAGATTTGGTAAAAAAAAAAGAAAAAAAGAAATGGTATGGTAATAATAAATTAATAATAGTAGAATTAGATTTTTTGACAGGATAAAAATGCTTCGGCTTAAGATATTGCATATAAGGCTCCTCAACTACTACAAAACTGTCTTTGGCAGACTAACCTGGGCCTGCTTCGTGATATGGCGGTTCTGATTGCTCAGAGCTTTAAGAATGATCCTCACAAAGACTTCTTCACCTTCCACAAGTAAGAGGTTCTGCTTAGAGATATCATTGCACACTGCACTAACCAGTTAACCATTTTTAAAAAAAAACCCTCAGAAATGATCCATTCTTTACAACATGGTGACATTTTGGCATCAAGGTGAGTATGTCAATAACAAAACGGTGTTCTTGTTCTTCTTGTAGAAAAGAGGGAGACAATGAGTTTATGAATATCATTGCCAATGAAATAAACACTGAGGTAAGATCATAATTTCACTGCTTTACTGCTAGGCATTACCACGTCAGTATATTTATTTTCAATCCCTACTCTGGTTATAGGAAACACTGGTTTTCCTGACTGTTGGAGAGGAAAAGGGACCTGGTTTGTTTCTGCTGGCTGGACCCAGTGAACTAGTCACTGAGATGGGACCACAGTAAGAGTTTTCATATTTATGTAGCTTCTACTGTTAAAATCTTAATGTAGGTTGGCACTGTATCTGTGTGTTTACTTTCCAGAGTGTTAGAATTGCTCCAAGGGAAGGGAGCAGGGAAGAACGGGCGATTCCAAGGCAAAGCCAACAGCCTGGGACGGAGAGGCGAGGTGGAGGCTTTACTGAAGCAGCGCTGCAATCAACGCAACTCACAGGAAGAATGATTTTTCATTAGAAAGAAATGTTTTATACTTCCAAAAGGGGAACATTAAGGTTGGCTTACATGGCTGTTTTATGCATCCATAATCTGGTAATCACTAAATGATGTGTTGGGTTACACGAGAATGAGAAAGTGACCATTTTGTGAAAATGTATATAATTCAACTTCTGGACAACATGTGCTGTACATATTTCAGTATTAAATGTAAAGTGCTGGCTTTATTCAGTCAAAATCCAAATTTTTGAACAATTTATTTTTCGAACCCGTCTTTAATTATCCAGGTAGGAAATCTCAGAAAGTTGTTTCTGTCTTTCTGGTTGTAGCATTTTCAGTGGGAGAAACGTTTCATCACTTGTTCAAGTGACTTCCAGCTGGACAATTGTCAAAGCTTGGAAGGTACCCAAAGAATGCTCCAGGCGATCCAGGAGGGGAAGAAAGGACAACTGCTGCCTTAGCAAAACCTGTAGTGAGTCCTCAAGTGTGCGGAGTATCAGAACATCTAAGATACATTTTCTCAAAACACAGCATCTCTGTGGCTTTTAAAACCCAAAACACACTACGCCCTAAGGATCAGGTCTCCATTGCGAGATGAGAAAGATGGAAATTTCCACATTGCAATTTTTGAGCAGTCAAGTAATAAAAATACACTTTAAAGAAACTTTGAGCTATTAATTGTGATCCCATTTATATATAATGTCCACAAATATGGAAACATTTTAATAAAAAGAAATATTCATTTTAATAAAAGTGATCCCGAAATATCACCCAAACTGGGCTAATTGCAAACACCTTTTCCATACAGTGTCCTAAACAAAACCCTTTGCAAACTAGACTGTGATGGACTGTATTGTCACAGTTCTGTGGTGTAGAAAATGTGTTCATATGTTGAAATAGTGCAAATGTGCAAGCTCCCCTTCCCATTTGTTAAAAAAAACTAAAGTTAAAAAAAGGTACAAGTTGAGATAATCTGGCAGTATCTGTGTGGAGTTCATTGCTCCTGGTGGTCCTTATTGCTAACTTAAGGGTTTCACGATCTTCATTGAGATGTAGTTCTGTAAAATGCAAGAAATAACAATCAATCACACATTGACAAGTTTCCTATAAGTACAAAGATGATAAGACTGAACAATTTTATAATATGAGAAAACTTTGTTGTCCAGTGGTTCGCTTTTGTCTGTCCTTACCGGTAAAGAATACAACAGGATGGCGATGAAGAGGACCACTATGATGAGGATGATAAGTCCAATAAAGACCCACTTGAACCTTCTCCACACAATGAACTTCATGGTCTTACATGGGTTGGTGAACCAGAAGAAGGATGTTTCTGGGCGACTAGTAGTTGACAGAAAATGTATTTAGTAGACATCATAGCCTGTATACCTTTCAAAATTCAGCCCAGCTAATCTTGTAAAGCAGGCTCTTACTTTGGAAGGTCCAGTTTTGGATTCATGTTGGGTTCATCCCGTCCTTTTCCTGCAGGTCGCTCATCTGCATCCACTTCACTCACAATCTCCAGTGTCATCTCCACTTTGCCCTGAAAACCCAACACAAACAATAGAGTGACAAGACAACAAGGACCTGCGACATTTTTGGAATACTTCAACTAAATTAAGACCAATTTATCTGACAATCTTCTGCAAGTAACACATTTCCAATTTAGGAATTTAGGACTAGTCAATAGAAAATAAAGTAGAAGTATAATGTTGTTGTCCAAAGCTCTTAATCTTTTCTCTTCATGGCACTTTGGGAATATTGTATTTTAACTCTACATTTCCAAATGTCTTGTGGTTCCATGTTATCAAATGAAAACTGAAGTTTCTATTCATACTTACACCCAGGACCTTCTTCCCATCTTGTTCAATAGAGCAAGGCCACCAGCCTCTGACTGACTGCTGAGCAAACAGAGACTTGTTCTGCTCTGCCTTGTGTGGACCTATTTCCACATTATCCATCATATCCAGAGAGCATTTCTCTGGGGTCTTCGCAGGAGCAACCAGCTTACGCAAATCCAGCTCCACAGTACCTGGGATCACAGCACATTGTACTCAGGTTTTCTAAAGGTTAGGCATAGACACACAGGTTGGACTTTAAAGTTTCTTACCAAGGTAATCATCCAGTGAGAATTTGTCATTATCCCAAATCTGAACAATCAGTTTGGGAGGAATCCGGAACTCTGTTTTATCAAGACTCCAAAAGTGTTCCTGTTATAAAAAAAGAGAAGAAGACATTAAAACAATACCTGTGTTATTTTTTTAAAATGGTATTAAAATAATCTTTGATCTACAGTATGATAAACCAACTGGCAACAAGCCTCACCTTCTTGGATACAAGGCAGAGTTGTTCAGCTGGCAGGTAGTCAAGCCCAAAGACGAATCGCCAGTTAAAGTTACCATCGCCATCCAGAGACCTGTAGTGGACATCAGTCTTCTGCTTGTCCTCCTCCATTCCTGGCATCCAGCTAGCACATAAACAAGCAGCATGAATAATCATCGGCCTTTGACCACAGTAACCCTCTAACACAAAGTGCTGCTACCTCCTAAAGGAAGATTTTGGAGAAAGTAAACAACAATAGATTTGGACAAACAAGGGCTTTGATGCAGAATTAACACACCCTTTCACATAGATGTCGCTCATGCGCTCTCCAGTGATACTGGTCTCATCCAGAGTCACATCTGTGGTGTTCCAGATGACAGCACGCAGGAAATACCTGAATATTTGAACACAGTCATTGTTAGCTCTCAGTGACATCCGCAGCGATGAAGTACTGAAGAGAAACACAGCACTTACTTCTTTGGTTTGCGTGGTGTGATGTCAAAGGGAGGCTCGGGGAGGCCTAAGCTTTTGGGAAAGACATCCACCCACATCTGAAGTTGTCCCTAAACCAATGCAACATATACATTTTACAAAAATAACTGAGCCTGAGTCATTGCAGCCAGAAACAGGTACAGTATGAGATGTCTAACCTGAGAGAGGTTGGGCTGGAAGGTGCTGTAAAGCGTCCTAGTTTCCACATGTTCAGGGACGAGACCCTGTGTTCTGAGCACGTGCAGACAGAGGCGTTCATAAGGTGGACCCAAGTGCTGATGAATTTCCTTGTTGCTCTCTTAATGTAGAAAAATAAATCGATCACTAGATTGGTATTAAAACAATCTAGTGTTATAGGGGCAAAACAGTTCAGTCACAACAATACTGTATTGTTGTTTCGACCTACGCATCTACTAATCAGAAGGTTGGTGGTTCGATGCCTGCCGTTGCATGCCAAAGTATTCTTGGGCAAGATGATGAACCCCGATTTCCTCCCAGTACATTCATCAGAGTGTGAAAGTTAGATACAAAGCCCTTACATGTAGAATAAAGTGCTTGTGTGAATGTGTATGTGATTGGATGAATGAGACATGCTGTACAAAGCACTTTGGTAGCTGACTAATGTGCTGTATGATGATCAGTCCATTTATCATTTAAACAGTAAGAGATTCAAATGAACTGATTCATCTTCTTGAAATCTGAACATTGGAGACACATCTGAATTTCAAAACAATTCTGCTGCTTTAGCTGCATTCAAATAAATTTTGTTTAATTCCCTAAAACATATAGTATTAGATGTTTTAGGGAGTTAAACTATAACAATATGTAGCAATGTAAAATGTGCTAAAGACAAAACGTACTGTTAATCTTTGCCAAACAATGAGGGCATGTAGACAGGCATAATAGGGCTTAATTGTTGCTCATTTTTCAACACAAAACATCTAAATCACTCATTTATACTATTATACTTCTAACCCCTTACCAAACTGAGCCAGTGTGTATTCTTTTCCATTGAAGGTGAGTGAATTTCCATTATCTTCCGTCCTGGGCTTGGAAAGTCCTTTAAGACGAGCCAGATTCTCAAGAATCTGAGATGGCTTCAGCTGGTCCCGCCACTGGTTAATGCCAGAACTAGATGACAGGACAGTTGGAATTAATATTTCCTCAGCTCTGACTCCATGTTTTCCAAAAAATATTAAAAGGTTTCCCACTCAGGCACATCTGCTTCCTTACATGCAGTAGCTTTGAGGCAAGCCGCAGTATGAGTTATATCGAGACAGGAAGCGGTTCTCCAGGTCGATCACTGTCTCGCCGACCTTCTCGTCACGAGTAAGCAGATCATAGTCATAAACAGAGATCTTCAGGTCCTTGTCCTGGGGCAGGAAACACGTCATCTCAAACATCCTAAACAACAAAAAGGACAGTTATAGAAATCTTAAGATGTAATAAATTTTCTATTTATACCTGTTTGAATTCATTGACACATAAGGTTTACCTTCCAAACACAGGGTTGAGGGTGTTGGGTAAGTAGTGGTCTCTGTCATCGATCGTGTTTTTTCCCAGTGATATCTTTATGTATGGATCACACTGAGCAGAAAAGACAGGAAACGGTACTGACCGTACTATGTTTGACAAGATTTGTATTACTGTAGGTAATGCAGATTAACACTCACGCTGCCATTATTGTCTTTGGGCTGGAGGTCCATGCCCCGAACCACATAAATCCTAACCAGACACTCCTGAGGTCCGCTATCTGGGAGTTCTCTGAACTGACGCGGTGGAGGAGCTACACCTGGGTCATCTGGAAAGGGGTACACTTTGAACGAACCCTGCAGGTACAAGAGTAAACCCCACACTCAAACAAAGAAATCAAGTTCACTGTAGTCCCCCCTTGTAGTTAATTAATGTTTTTCTCTATCTCCAAATATTATTGCTCTAAATGATGTTAGACAACCTTAAACTCTCCAACCACAGTGGGATCATCATCGCCATTGTCGTTCTTGCCTCGCTGGAGTTTGAAGGTGTCGCAGAAATCAGTAAGCCCTTTGAATTCTGGGACATCTTCCAGTTCGCAGTCATAGATCTGAAAATGAACACACTCACATTCAAGTTGTCTGTAACAACCAAAGAGGAGCGTACGTACTATTTGAAATACATAGACCAAGATGAATGATTAGTTTATGAGTGTTCTGTGAGGAAATGGAGCTGGCTTACTTTGAGGGTATCGTATCCTTTCTTGAGGTAAGGACCACATTTCTCCTGGTCTCCTAGCGAGACGTAGAATTTACTCCACCAATCAACTGTCTCTTTTTCCTAAAGATGGAATTGTCCTGCATTTTAATCTCACTGCATTTGGGAAAAGAAGTTGATTTGTCTGCTATTAAATCTTATTTCATCAACTACTAATAAGTCTTACCTTCTCAGCAACCTTTGGCGAATGAAGATGCACCAAAAAAAATAAATAAAAACAAGTCAAAAATATTTATATCAGTAAGAAAGAAAAGTAAGAAGACAAACATTAAATGGAACAAATACTGAAAAGACAGCAGAAAATCGAAATGCAAAGAAGAAAAAGTTGATAAAGTGCTTTCAGCCACAGTTTGATGACTGACAGTGATTCTGTGAAAGGGTGTAGCAATCAGCAACAACAATAAGCTTTTAACACAGCAGACATTTTGACATATCATACTGAGATCTATTCATTTCACTTAGTGTATACCCTAATATTCGACATTGCTGTTTTAATATCTTACTAAATAACTTACTGAATCAATGTTGATTTTATTTTTCATATATGCCCTTCATGCTATGCCAGTTTAAAATGTCTGCTGTGAAAAGGGTGCTAATAGCAGGTAGCGTGGCTCTGGTGATGAGGCCCATTGCCTGCCATGACTGACATCTGTTTTTAAAGAAATCAAAGGACTAAATTTTCACTTCTTTCATAGATTTCATAAGTTTCATTTGTGGTCAGAACAACAATGTATTTATTGGTCAACTAAAAAAAAAGACATTTTGGGAAATACAGTATTGTCTTGAGCCGCCCCTCATTTCTGCATATTTTACTTCCAAGCATAATTGTCTGCGCTGTGTCCTTAAAGAAATTTAAGGACACTGGACAAGTGGAATACAAAAAAAACTAAGTGCAATGCCTCTTCTAGTATCCGAAGCCTCATTAGAAATGGTCTCAATGTAAGGATGGCTGTCAAGAAGCCATTCTTAAGGAAGGGAAACAGGGAGAAAAGGCTGTGTTATGCCAAATTGTACAAGGGCGATTGGTCTGACAGAATGATGAATCCAAATTTGAAACATTTGGTTCAAATCTTTGTCACCACAAACAAGAGAGGTACAACAGTGGCTGTCTACAGCCACCTGTAAAACATGGTTTGGAGCTGCATTTAAGCCAGTCAGGTTGAGCATCCTGTCAAAACCGATGGAATTATAAATGCAGAAATGTAGCTTCTGATTTTGCTCCCATATAAAATAGCATGTGGAAAGCATTGAATCAGCAACAGCCTCATATATGAATGAGAGGTGGCTTTTGCACAGTACTGTACCTTTATTTTCTTGAGTCACAAGAGTTAGATGCAAACCGTCATTATGATTCCACACACGTCTATGTGCTAAATTTGAGTCTACTGCCACCACCCAGTTATCTCTGCATAAAGACTGCCGTTGTTAGTAGTAGTAGTATTTTTTACAGATTTAATACTGGCTACTGTTTGAACTGTTGAATGAATTAATAATAGCACTTAGACTTTACCCACGGACAATCCCAGACTAGCTTTTTCTACCTAATTTGAGTCTGAACTCGAGTACTAGCAGTAGCATCACATTTAGCATTTAGAGCAGTTTCAATTTTCAAACTCTATGCAGGAAAATATAGGAAAAATAAGGGTATTTCCCAAAGTATCAAACTTTCTTTAAGTAGGAAACTTGTAGGCAAGTTATTTTTGAGGTTTCAGTAGCAGCACTAGCTTCTAAGTTTAGATGCCTGAACATCTATGCTACAATCGATGCTACAATAACAATGTGCTCAATAAAATATGCCAGATAAAACTGCAGTTATTGTGGCAACTCCCCTGTAGATTCATGGCTTTGTGATAGGATTTTTGTTCAGCTTTCTTTAGCTCTGTGATTGTCAGCCATTCAGCATCATTGGAGCCCCGCCTTGTGAATTAGAAAGCCATAATAAGTAACCATACATACAAAATGGGAGGTAGGGGATGCCATTTTGTTGACAGCAGCTGACATGCTGTACATAAACTGTAAGCCAGAGTAATCAGAGTAAGTTTGTCAGATTTGACTTGATAGTCAAATTCTGCTCTTACGTGAACAGAGGAAACGTCTGAGTGTTAGGAAAGGTGGTGGGGCTTACCTGAGCTTCTAGCAGTGGCCTTGTCTCCTCCATGGTGATAGAGACATGTTTGTGAGGCGACGCCATCATCAGAGCCACTGTTAACATTGAGCAGTTACTTTTATCTCTGTGCATAAACTGTATCAAAGTTTGTACCTAGCGTTTCTCTATTAACATACTACAGGCTGTATAAACAACCCTAATTCAAAAAAGATGGGATGCCGGGAATAAAAAAAGGATAAATAAAGATTCAGAAATTTCATAAGCCCAATAAAAACATATCAAATGGATTAATTTAGGAAAGAAAATTACTTCCTTTTGAATTTGGTGGCAGCACTGTTCACCACTGTATAGCATCCCATCTTCTTTTAACAAACAGATTGTAAACATCTGGGAACTAAGGAGACCAGCTGCTGGACTTTTGGGAGGGGAATGTGGTCCCACTCTTGTCTGATGTTAGATTCTAGTTGATCAACAGTTCTCAGTCTTCTTGTGGAATTTTTCATTTCATGATGTGTCAAATGTTTTTAACGTCTGGACTGCAGGCAGGCCACATCCAGGCCCCAGATTCTTCTCCTAGGAATCCATGCTGTTGTTATACACAGGTTTTTGAACTTTTGAGTGCTTGCAACAAGCCAGACGGTTCCTCTTCTATGTAGTCTGGAGGATGTAGCGTTCATGCTTTGTCTAACCACAGAGCAGCTTTCCAATTTTCAGGCTTGCACACAGAGATTTCTCCATAATTTCAGAATCTTTTGGTGATATTATGTGCTGCAGATGATCAGATATTCAAATTCTTTGTAATTTTACATTTGTAGTTATAAGTTTTTACACACTGGTTAACATCTGCCCATCTTCTGAGAAGCTCTACCTCTATAAGATAGTACTACTTGCTTTTCCAGGCTTTTATTGCCCTTGTCTGAACTTTTGAGACAAGTTGCTGCCATCAAAAGTAATTTTTTTCTGAAAAACACTTGATAAGTTTTCTGTTTTCTTTTGTGAATAAAATATGGCTTGATGAGATTTTGAAATCATTGCATTATTTTTCTATTACGTGGTTGCACAGTGTCCCAACTTAAGTGCCTTAAACTTAAATTCTTTCTAATGGCCGTAGGGACCAATTCCTCTGGTCGCAAAGCAAAAGTTAACTGCTAGTTTTTCAACATGGCGTTCATTGCAGGTTGCTGCAGTCTATGATCTGCTCTTACTTTTAGATGACATTGCTCCTTCGGCGGTGACGACATATGGATCACATCTGAACTGCTCCAAAGAACTGATAGTGCACTGGCCTACCACGGGCTTCCTGCCAAATGGACGGTGGTCTATTACCTTCAGCACAATTGGAGGCGTGTACATCTCTTCCTTCGGAAGGAGCTGGATGGAGAGTATAGAGGAAATGGAAGAAATAATCAGGGTTTAAATCATAACGTATCAACTTCTTGAGAATAATAACTGAATCTTAAATTGAATGATTCGGATGTTGGTGGGGTTTTTTTAGACTTTTTCAGAGCAAGAGTAAAATTTCCTTTTTTTGACAGAGCATATAGTTGGTGCTTGATCGGGTGACCCCGTATCCTCCCTTAGTTACACTGCAAGAGGTCTAGGTTGCTACGGGCTTCCCATGATGCACTGATTTTCTTCTTCACTCACTGAGCGTTTATACACAACTCTGCATTTAATCATTATTTACTTTTAATCTCTGGCTCTCTGCCATAGTATGTCTTTGTTTTGTCTTCCTCACCTCACCCACGACACATAATAGCAGATGTGCCTGGTTCTGCCCTGGGTTTCTTCCTGTTAAAAGGTTTTCCCTCTCACGGTTGGAAAAGTGCTTACTAATAGCGGGTCTTCTTATTGTTGGGGTTTTCTCTGTTTTTTCTATTTTATTGTATGGTCTTTACATTATAATATAAAGTGTTTTGAGGCAACTGTTGTGCTTTCGGGCTATATAAACAAAACTAAACTGAAATGAATCGAAAAAAGTTTAAACGTACTCATTTCAAAATTAAAAGTTAATTTAGTTAAATTTTTCTTTTTTTCAGACACTTATTTTCCTAATTCTTATGCATAACATAGAGCTTGTGTAGTACTGCCATTACCACTTTGATGAAGAGGACAGAGCTTGGGAAGTTTGGAGTCTTCTTCATGTTCTTGATGACGGCTGACTCTACCCTCTGCCCCCCACATTCCACCACGAGGCTGGGTGACGATACTGCTGCCAGTTGGTATGGCTTCATGTTCCTCAGGCCCCATGCAAGAATCTGAAATCAAACATAGATTGGGGAGTTTTAATGAGGTCAAATTCCATGCGTGGCCATCACTTTAGAAGGGAAAGTTATATATAAGGCTGCATTTTACCTCCACAGCAGTCAGCTGCACCACAGGGCGAATGCCCTGAGGTACCATGTAGATGTTCTCTCTCTTTGGGGGAACTAGTGGAAGATCTGAGTCTCCTGACTACAGAGACAGAGGCATTCATTAGGCTTTATTTTCTTGTTATTTTTCCTACAAGATTACACTTGGTTCCATGGGAGTTATGAAGGAATGACGAAAACAACATTACACCTTACATTTCATATAAGAAATGTCAACAGTAATCACCAAAACTACATGGACATGATAAAAGGAGATGAAAAGATGAAGACATTGTTTAAGTTAAGGATTTATTACTCAGTATGTATGTATGACAGACTGCATGCGACAGAGGTAACACAGTTTTGAGGAAGTCTCACAGACCTGAAGGCCCAGAGAACAATTTTTAAAAAATGCTATAAAACAGACTATTGTCCACTACTTTCATTTCAAACCTTGTTTTTAAGAATGAGTTCAGCAGCCACAAGAGCCTCCCCGGCTACCTTCCCTTTCTGGATGATGGGATGCCACAACAGTTTTGGTGTCTGATCCATAGCAGAATTCAGTTTTACTATTGGGGTGCAAATACTGCGGCCCAGTATTTCGTCCTTCCCCTGAAACAGAAACTTCCAAGATTACCATACATATTCTGATATGTGTGCATAATTAAATAAACATGAGTTTTACAGAGGATGTTGTAAGAGTAACAGATGAATGGTGTATATTGCTTTAAAGACAATTAAAACTGTGTAAAGGAAGATGTCAAATGTTTTTTCTTATAACTTAAGCTGGAAAAGTAAAAAGTTTCACTGAAGTCAACTTCTGTGTGATTTCAAAATACAGTTTTACTGTAAGTATCTGCACAAAATCATCAATCAGGGATCTTACAACACTGTAAGCACTGAACAAACAGATTCATTGTGCAGAAGACTTCTCTATATACGGTCGATATCCCTCAGCGTACCACTTGGTCACTATCGTAGAACTCCAGGACAACATTGGGAGGGCGGTAAGCAATCTTCTGGGGGTCTCCGTAAATCTCTACATCATTAAAAATCAGAGTCTGGTCCCAGGTTGGGTTCAGAGTTGCTCTTAGCTTCTCTGTTGTCTTACTGACATGCAGGAAGGAGACATGTGCATATGGATCTGTGGTGGAAAAAAAAGTAGTTTTACCTTTTATTTAACAAAGGGCTTTTGCAGTGATACTTATTTAAGTTCAAATCTAAATCCACTCGAAGTCTTAAGTTTTATATGCATTACATTTCATTCTTGATTTAATCCTACCAGAGAAACTATCTTTGTCCATGGAGGTCATGTTGCGTGCCTGATGGATGTAGACACGGAGATGGTACATATATGACCCTAAAGAGGAACACAACATGAATGAAGTGGTCAGTCAAAAATCCTTCTATGCAAATGCAAAATGCATTCACATGTTCACTTGTATGTGCATCACTCACTGTCAAAGGAGCAGGACACAGTAGGCGTGTTGGCACCAAACAGCTTGGTAGCGTCACCCTTGGAATCTTTCTCTTTCTCCTCTGTGTCAATACCCTGTCAAGAAAACCAGAGAGTTATTACACATTCATATTTCACACGCTCCCAGGAACAAAGAAAACACACACACACATGACAGCTCTGTAGATGGGGTTAATTCATAAGCAAATATTTGGTGACTCAGCAAGATCAGGTTGACTTCCAGCTTTGACTCCCATCCTCTATGGCATTGTCAATCAGATGTTAAAAAAAAGTAGTTCAACATCAACAAAAAAATCAATTTTCTCATTCTCACCAATGCTCCCTCCAGCTGGAAGATGGCAGCTGCTCCAAGGCGACTTTCCGGTGCCATTTTTCTCCTCCAGCGCCTTCGCCGAAACGTATCTGATGACCTCTCATTTCTGTGGAATTTCCAGCCAATCAGAGAAGAGAATTCCCAGCCCTCAGGGTTGCCTTGATCCCGCCTCTGCGTGCAAAAAGGGACTTGTAGTTAACAGGTAGAAACATTTGTTCTACCTGGATCTAAGAACTAAATTGAGCATAGCATTAGTTCAGGCAGGCCACCAAGTCAAACACAGCCACAGCCCTGGCAGATTATCTCATGTATGTGTCAATGCTCATGGAAGTTGCAATTGTATTTTACAAAATCAGAATAGATTATAAAAGAAATGGCAAAGCAGTACATAGTCCTGCCCTACTGTGCAGTGCTGACCTCCACAGCTGCTCCTCCGGGGACTTTACTCCTCTTGCGGGGTCGAATCAGCCTTCTTCTGCGGTGAACGTGGTACATCTTCTCTGCAGGAACCCAGGACCGAGGCTTGTCATCTGGAGGAATGGTGACTCCATATTCCCAGCCTTTAAACACCACACAGACATTCATACCAAAAATGTCCTTAGTTATATGGTTTATTCTATTTTTTTTAGTTATGCTGTGAGGTGAGTGTCTGCACCTTGATCATCCACAGCTCTGTTGATATCCACAGTCCACTCATCCTCCCAGATCCAACCTGGGGGACAATCAAACTCTGTAGGGTTGCAACTTTTCTCTCCATTCTGCACAACCAAAAAGAGCCACTTAGTGGTATATATATTCTTATAAATGTATCTATATTAAGAGTGTGGGATTATTATCTATTCCAGGCATTTGGGTGAGTCAGCAGTTAACGTGTAGGGTTACATTAATGCCTCGATATTTGTGTATCAAGGAGAAAAGAAAACTGTGTTCTCACCACATCAGTGAAGGGTTCAGAAGCAGCCTTCCAGTCTCCACCTGGGAAGCGGGTCTCATTCTGGAAAACCTCATCCATGAATTCAGTGTGTCCTGCATCAGCTTCTGTTAGCAGACTGAAATAAGAAATAAGACTAGATATGAAAAGAGAATTCAACAATGAGAATATCTACCGTTGCAAACGTCAGTATCAAAAACACAAAACACGCGGCAACATCAGTGCACTGTTGCGTGTGGTGTGAAACACAAGGATAGATAGTTTGTCGAGCAGTGTTTACATGTTGGGAGTTTCCTGACTGATAAGTTAGCTTAACAAACCCTGTGCTCATCTTACTGAAAGTATGTGCTCCATATTATTACTGTTAGACTCAGAGTCTGACACCCTCCATCAAACAATTTTTGGGAGTTCTGTTTTTCCACTTTACTCTGCTTTTTTTGACAGCTAGAAGGTTGGGTATACAGTGAGAGGCAAAAATCGGCTGGTAACACTTGGAGTGCAGAATGTGTTTGCCTCTGAGTTTACAGATAGGTTAAAAAGATTACATGAATGACTTCCGTCAGTTTGATACATTTCCATTAATTGACTGCTCAGTGGCATGAGGAGAATGTAAACATGAGAGAGTCCATGTGGCCTACTTCCTTCACTGCGCAGACTCAGTGTTTACCAAGGTAAGGTAGTGGTGAAAACATCAAACAAATCCTGCTTAGATGACCAAGTCCAATTACACTCACGCTTTCTCTGGATCAATGAACCACTCAGACTCCCACTCCCATCCTCTGGGTGGAATGAAGTACTCCTTTTTTAGCTTCAGTTTGCCGGTTACATCAGAAAACTTATGGCGCCCCACCAGTCCCGTAGTCCCCCACTTCCCGAACACCTGAGCCTGATTTTCGTACTGTAATACACAGGAAGACGGGCTTGGTTTTAGGAGCTGAGAACACTTCATGTAATAAGACACATGTATTACAATGTAATACTTGTGTGTGAATCCCAGGTATGTGTGGGAGAAACATACCAGTTCGGCAAACACACTGAAGCTTCCCTCGGAGAATGAGCTGAACTTTTTCTCATGTGCAGACAGACCCAGCCACATGTTAACTCTAATCTGAACTGGCACCTTTAAGCCCTTGTTCTTGTCCATGGGGTACTGTGGAGATGGAGAATAAAAAGCATAGAAAAGCAGCTGATTACTACATAACATTCAAACATTTCTTTTATTTATTTAGCCTGTTTTTGACAGTTCATGTGTACCTGTAAATACACAGTCTGTGTCTTGCCGCAATGCTGCCCACAGGCCTGCTCACTGAATGTAGAGTAGAGGATCTGATGAGCTGGGATGCGACTGCAAGCCACTCTTTTCTCACCCCGTAGCATCCAGATGATCACATCAGGCATGCTGATCTGGGGCTGGACACAGTTAGAAAAACCATGTGAACTTATGCAGTGCTTATGGAAAGACTGTGTATCATGCCTTAGCACACATATTTGTCCAATAATTAGGATGAATGTCTTGCATTCTTTTGACATGTTACTGCAACACGAGGCTTTTGCATGACACAGTGTATATAATCAATGCTGTGCAGATTCCTACAAATACTATTTTTTCTACTAATACAATTTTTTTTTTAATCAAAGAAGCATTTTGCTGTGTTTATACCTCTTCAGCCAGCGTTTTGAACTTTTCTACCCAGGACTCCAAGTCGGACAAAGTGTCACGGATCTCTCCGGCCTCGTCTCTCATGCGTCTGGCTCCATCTTTGATGCTTGTCAAAGCCCTGTCTCGCAGCTTCTTGATTTGGATGTCCAGAGTTGTCAGGTTGGAGTGGCCCTCGAGCTCAGGTGTTGGGAAACTCAAGGAAAGCAGACAAAATCCTAATCATTTCAGCCAAAAAAGTTAAATAATTAAGCAGTTAACTCTTCATAACTGAAGCCGGTTCTTTCTCAGCCTACTATCATCTTATATACTCAAAATCCTCTCAAGCAAATATGTGGCATATCTCAACTGTTATGAATTGCTGTCAAATTAAGACAGTGTTTTATGTAAAATCCTTTTTTTCCCCATTTTTACCTAATATATAAATCATGTACTCTAAATAGTTTGTGTACTTCATGTAGGAATCAGGCCGAGTAGTCATTATACACTGCATGTTTCTTAGGCAGTAGGTCACTCTAGAGATAAAAAATGACCATGATCTTTAAACAGTTGCTACACATTAGAGATATGACACAGAGAATTCATTCACAAATTAATCTCAGCTAGTGAGTCTAAAGGGAAACTTTTCAAAGGCTAAATTGCCAAGTGTGTGTATCCATAAAATGTTACAATATTTTTGAACAACCCTCCATGCTAATGTCTTATGACCAGTACTACCACATATCTAAGAGTGGCTATAGTAGAGGATAAATAAGATTTGAACTAAAAAATGCAATTCAAAACAGGTGAGATAAGTCACAGGTCCTTTGATAAATGGATTTTGGAGAATTTAAGACAGTAAATTTCAATTTTTAGCTGTCGAAGAACAAGCTTTGTGCTCAAAATGCTGCTTAAAAATAC